GTCGTGGGATCAAGTCTCACTGAGGGCAATTCATAACGGAGATCTTCCACGGAAGCTGCTCTCAACCTGGCGTTGAGGGCATCCTACTACCCTACCTCCCCTTACCTAATTACATATGAGAATAGGGTCAGCTAATTTTATATGTTTTTCTGGAAACCCATGGCGGCTTCTAATTTAAAGAGCTCAGATAAATTATCAGTTTTAGTTCGTTTTAATATTTTAATTTTTTTTTAAATTATATATAAAGTTTTTTTTCTTGTTTCATTTTAGTACTTCAACATCAAAGACTTTGTTTTTTGTTTTATTTTAGTACCTTCATTCAAATTTTAATGTTAAGTTTTTTAAAATTAAAAGTTTAAGTATTAGAACGAATCAAAACTGATAGTTTCGGTACTAAACAAGCTAATTTTTTTACAGTGGGATACTAAAATGAAATGAAAATTAAATGTTATGTATGGTTGTAAAAAAATTAGAAGTTTAGGTATTAAAACGAACCAAAACTTATAATTTAGGTATTAAATGCTTAATTTACCCTTGTTTATATCAAAATAATACTTAAAAATTAATTTTCATAATAGCATTCATTTCTGTCATATAGAACGAAGGTGTGTTTACGTAGCAACGTCTTTTGAAAGGTTTTTCTTCGAGAAAGTGTATTTGCTCACGTGACAAGTCTCATGGGTAGTTTCTCTAATGCTAACATCATCCTGGTAGGCCTAGGTGACCTATCACGTAAGCAAATGTGTTTTCTTGAGAAATAAACTTCCGAAAGGTACTATCAAGTAGGCACATCTTCGTCTTATGTGAAATAAATAGATGTCATTTTAAAAATTAAAGATTCTCCTATTGCTATTTTGATATAAAAAGAATAAAAGAGTATTATTTTAATAATTTAGCCCATTATTTTCCCAAATTTATTTTTAGCTTAATATGTAAATTAGTCCTTTATATATACATATTTTTCACTTTACACCTTAACTTTATTCTTCATTTTATTTCTTACCATTTGATAATATAGGTTTTCTTTATGTTAGCTACCACGTGTTCGAATGTATCATATATAGATTCTGTTTGTAAAATTAATTTTCACCCTCATTATTAGGGGCGAATAAAACTTGACTCGACTCGAATGTACTTCGAGTTGTAATTTCATAAACTCAACTCGATTCGAAAAAATTTCAAGTTCAAATCGAGTTGTAAAATACAACTCAAATAACTCGAAATTTTTAGTAATTAGTAGATTGATTTTCAAGTTTGATTCGAAGTGTGAATTGAGTCACTCGACTTTATATGATATATGTAGATCATATATTAAAAAATAAATATATATATATATATATGTATTGTATATGATTATAAAATATCAATTTAATCAAATAATGTCATAATATTGTAAATATTTATAATTATTATAAATTTAAATGAGAACCTGAAAATTTGACTCGACTTGACTCAACTCAAATTTTATAAACTCGACTCGAAAAAAATTCAAGTTAGCTCCGAGTTATAAAGTAGGACTCGTCACCTAGAATTATTTAAATTTTTTTTACTCGAATCGATCGAACGCTCATCTCTACTCATTATATTAAATAATAATTTATTTTAAAACACACGTTAAAATTATATGTAGAGATGATTAGACCCAGATATCCAGGAGCCATGTTTTGTTAAAGCTATTACTTTTATCATTTTCAACGGTTTGAATTATATGTAGAGATGATGCAATGTCCGATAGGATTGCATTATTTCTTTTGGATAAATTACGAGTTTAATACTTAAACTATCAGTTTGGATTTGTTTTAATATCTAAACTTTTATTTTTTCTTCAAAATATGCATAATGTTTAGTTTTTGTTTCATTTTAGTACTTCATCGTTAAAAACTTGACGGTACTGCATTTTTATGGATAAATCACATCATTCAACTATCTTCTCACCCTTATTTCGGTACTAAAGTTTAACATTTTTCAATTTATATATTTAACTTTCAAATTGCTCATATTTTAATCACGCTTATCTATTTTATAAATTTTTTGTAACATGACATTTATTATTATTTTATTAATATAATTTAAAATAAAAAATAATAATTTTGAAAGTTATAGTTATTAAATTAGGAGTAATTTGAAAGTTAAGTAATTAAACAAAAAAATTAAACTTTAGTGACCAAAATAGGAGTGAGAATATACTTTAGTTATGAATGATGTAATTTACCCATAAAAAAGGTGACACGTGAAAATCGTCCGTTAAGTTTTTAAGGGCGATGTATTAAAACAAAAATAAAAACTAAATGTTAAACATGATTTTGAAAAATTAAAAATTTAGATACTAAAACAGACCAAAATTAATAATTTAGATACTAAACATGTAGTTATCTTTATTTTTTATAGAAAAGCAGCCCCAAAAATTTTGAAGAGATAAATTATTATAATAATCGAGAAAATAGTTGCGAGAATAACAAATAAGATGAAAATAAATATAACAATATTTAAGTAAAAATAATATGAGATTGTTTGATTTCTTTGTGATTTAAAGGTTGTCAATAACCAGTTGGTCTAGTGGGATGAGACACTAGGTCCCTTAAGCAAGGTTAGAGGTTCGAATCATGGCGTTTGCGATTGGAGTAAACTGGGTTGGGAGGGTCGCACTCGCCTTTGTAGTACCCGATCTGGATTAGTCGGTTAATAGATTGGATACCAGTTATTATAAAAAAGAAGTTACAGAATAGTCATTTGACTATTCATATGATCCAAACTCGTCATTTTTCGTTAAAAAATTGTGTTTGTCTGAGCTAGACGTTAACATGTTTACTGAGATAGGATAAAATTTAATCACTAAACTGTTTGAATTATATTTTGTGGATCCACTTTCTATTTACATTATGTCTTCGAGCAATGCTTGAAATATTATGTCGTCGAGTCGATGCTTGAAAGCCACAGTGGTGCCATCAAATATCATTAAAATATTATTTTATTAAATCGCAAGTCAGCAAAGTTAACGTCCAACTCAGACTACCATCAGTTTTTTAACAGAAAATAACGAGTTTGAAACATATAAATAGTCAGGGGACTTAACAAAATAACGTCTTATAGTCGGAGGACTATTTTGTAACTTTTAATAGTTGGAAACTCAACAAAGCATCGTCCTATAGTTGAAGGACCATTTTATAACTTTAAATAATAAAAGGCTCAACAAAACTGTATTTTATAATCGAGGAACTATTTATATACTTCATCCTCCTTTTTATTAGCGTTTAATTAGAAGTAAGAATTCACATTAAATAAGATTGTTTATTATATGAATCTTCTTTCTCTTAAATAATTTCGATATTATAATTACTTTATCTCTTCTAGCCATGCTTTTCAATTTTAAAAATTTGCACGTAAATTTTAATATTCCTGTTTTTTTATCTTATTTATTTTAGGTATAATAACAAAATTACTCCCAACGTTTGTATAAATGGTCACTTTGCCCCATCCTTTTTTTTAGCAAAACCTTCCATGGTTGGATGAAAATGTTAATTGATTATCTATCAATCATCCCGATGTGGCAAGTAGGGATGGCAAACGGGTACAGTTTCGTGGATTTCGCACCGCATCCGCTCTAATTGGGGCGGGGATGGGTATAATTTTAGCGGGTAGTGGGCGGGTGTAGATTTAGAAAGTGGTACCCGTCGCGGGTGGTGAGCGGGTAATGGGTTTGAGACATTACCCGCCCCGCATCCGCCCGCCCCACATCCGCCCGCCCAATTAAATATCCATTAAATTTTGGATCATTATGAATTTATGTGTAATTTTAGAGACTAATTTATAAATTCTAATATTGTATAAGATATAACATGTAATTTATCCAACTCTCCAACAAATGGCAAAAGATATTTTGGGCATTCTTGTCTCCATTGTCCCATCAAAATCTGCATTCAGTATAGGTGGAAGAGTAATTGGTCCTTATCGTAGTCGACTACCTCCGGAGACGATTGAAGCATTAATGTATGCTTAAAATTGGTTTTGGGCCGATATTAAAGGTAATATTATTATTTAATTTATATTAGTTGTCAAATTGTGCTTAATTATCTTATTAAAGTTTAGTTACTAACTTAGATTAGTTTTACTTTCTATTATATATGTAGGTAATAGTGAATTTAAATTGGAGCGCTCTCTGTTGGAGGAAATAGAGAATGATGATTGTAATACTGGAGTATTATATGTCACAAATATTGCCTGAAATTTTAGAATGTTGTGCCAAAAAACAAAAACATTATGTGTTTGTCATTTATGTTTCTAGACTTTAATTATGTCCTTTATTATTGTGTTTTATGTATTTTAAGATATATATTAACACTTAACTTAGATAATCCTTAAATTATTTTATTATGTTTCTTAATGGACATGTTTTTTTATGTTTGTTGCTTATGTATAACTTAAGTTTGTTGTCAGGCGGGTCTAGACGGGTACGTCGCTAGTGGGTAGTGGGTGTAGATTTGAGAATGTACCCGCATGGACGGGTGTGGATTTGAAAATTTGTACCTATCATGGGTGGTGGGCGGGTGGTGGATTGAAAAATATTAGGTGGGTATGGGAATGGGGGAGAAGGTATCCGCACCCGACCCGCCCGTTTGCCATCTCTAGTGGCAAGTCCATGTGTGATGCCACTCCAACAAAAAAATATTTTTAGAGTAAACTATAATTATAATTAATTACATGTACATTTATTAAAAAATATATATATTTAAAAATATTTTTGATGAAGTGGCATCACAAATGGACCAGTCACATCAATAAAAAACGTTGATTGTTAATCAACTAACGATTTGCATTTACTGAGGAGATACTTTGCTCCAAAATAAAACGTTGGGAGCTAAAATGCTCCCAAAAAAATATAAGGGGCAAAGTGATAATTTTTACAAATATTGGGGGTAATTTTATTATTATGCCTTCATTTTTTTTCCAAAAAATATTTGTTTCCGAATCTCCGACACAAACCCGAGTCCGAGTAACATAGATTATCGTATCTTTTCAGCCCCTCCAGGGGTCCGGTCTCTCTTGATCTTGGAAAACTGCCATGTTAGAATCCGACAATGAGTAGAATCCGACATCACCGGCCGGCTTTCTCGAGCTCATCTGAGACTGCTTGCAATGTGCAATGGCTCCCTGGATCGGATTCGGACTCTCAATCTTTACTTTCACACTGCTGCTTCCGTTAAGAAACGGCAGGTAACGAAAACCGTTCGAATTCAAAGACGAAGACGACGAAGAAGTCGAAGACTCGTTCGTCGAAGAATGTTGTTCGATCACCATCGAAAACAACCTCCTATGCCGATTGCTCTGTCCGTTTCCGGCGCCATTATCGACCAACTTCTTCGATTTTTCCCGATTCATTTGTCCGAATAGGCTCCGGTTCGGTTTCGGAACCGTCACTCTATCCCCATCCTTTGCTACTGCAGATGACTCGTACGAGCAACCGGATTTCCTGAAAAGGGCTTTGAGATAAGCCCTGGAAGCCTTAAGCCTTGAACTCAGCTTAAGCATTTTAGTCCACGACTTCTTCCGGTTTTCGTCTCCGTCGATACACCGGCTCACGTCTGTCTCGGCCCAGCACTCGTAAAACGAGTACTCGACCGGACTAAGCTCCCTACTAACAGTACAAGAGTCACAAGGCGAGACGTTGCAGGATTCAAAAGGAGTTGGTGTAGTAATAGTGGTAGCTAATGGGGTGCCATAAGATTCTCGGCACACACCATTTTCGTCCCCGTAAACCGAACCGAAACCCGGTTCGGATATTTCGAGGAGATGAAGAGGGAGGAGGTTGCCTTTGTAGAAGAGTTCATCAGCAGGGGAAGTTGTGGACTCTCTCTCCATGGAAAGAGAAGACATTTGGAACTCAAATTCTCTTGAGGGCCTGGAATTGCTGAAAATATTGGAAAATGAAGTGATTTCCATGTCAATGTATTCATCATCTTCTTCAGGGACATTCTCTGTGAAGCTCACTGCCATTTTCAATGTTTTTTTTAGGAACCAATCTCTGTGCAAGAATCTTAGTTTTGAGAAGAGAGGGAGGTGATTGCACGCTTATAGTGCTAGCCGTGCTACACTACAATTTTTTAAAAAAAAATTTAATTAATTAATCTAGTTTGAGGAGTATTATTTATAGAGTGAATTACGATTTTAGTACCTAGACTATCAGTTGTAATATGTTTTAGTACCTAAACTTACAATATTTCAAAACTATACATAAAGTTTAGTTTTTGTTTCATTTTATTACCCACTATTAAGAATTTTTAAATTTTTTTATTTTAGTATTCCCATTCAAATTTTAGTGTTAAGTTTTGGAAAAAAAATTGAAAGTTTAAGTATTAAAACTGACCAAAACTGATAGTTTAGTTACTAAACGCTTTAAGTTTTTAACGGGTGGGTACTAAAATGAAATGAAAATTAAATTTTAGATATGATTTAAAAAAAAATTAAAGTTTAGGTATTAAAACGGACCAAAACTGATAGTTTAAGTACAAAATGGATCAAAATTTAGTGCTAAGTTTTGGAAAAAAAAACAATTAAAGTTTAGGTACTAAAACAGACTAAAACGGTTAGGTACTAAAATGAAATGAAAACTAAACTTTAGACTCGGCTCGAACTTGAAAATCAGTCCACTAATTACTAAAAATTTCAAGTTATTCAAATCTTATTTTATAAATCAAATTTTTTTTTATTCAAGCTGAATTTATGAATCGAGTTTAAAATTTTAATTTTTTCGAGTGGAGTTTTGCTCACCTCTACTTATACCTAACACATTCAAATACAACATACTCATTTTTAATAGTTTAGGGGTGATTATAATGTAGTATCTGTTTAGAATCTTTCTTAATCGTTGACAACACATACCCTGCAACTACAGCTGCTTGAACCCGAGACCTCTAGAAAGATCAATACTCTGTATTATTATTAAAGTCACTCAATGAATTTAACACATACTCGTATTTGATGACTACTACATCTGTATTTTTAGTTGGTTGGATATATGTAAACATACATACGCTTCCATATTTGCTTTGGTCATGAATTCTAGATTCGTAAGGCAAAAGGTTACGAGGGCAGACCCGAATTTCAAAACCAGGTTTTCTATACATGTCTGCTCCAATGGCTGCGAAAAATAAAAAAAAGAAATAGGGAGAGAAAAAAGTTCATTTTTTTATTTCATAAACTAATAGGGACTAAAAGTCAAATAATACCTTTTTTAATTTACATGTTTCCACTGCTTTGTTGCTGGATTCCTGGGTTTGTTTTCTTCACTTTGTATACATTATTTTCATTCACTTTATCCTTAAAATCACTGATTGGTCTAATTATCCTCTCAATCCTTATATATTTTGCAGATTTTGAATGTGGTCCCCCATTTTATTTGGTAACATGGTCAGTTTGAAAAATAAGGTCTTTTTTTTTTTCATTTTGGGATTTAGATTTAAGGCTAATTTAAATCAGCTATCATTTTCCTTATTTCAGTTAGGGACAGAAAAATGTAGCTTTATCTTTAAAGAAGTCCTCATCTTACTCTGCCTGAACAAAACTACATACTCATCCATGGAGTAGATAATTTAGTAGCTCGGAATTCTTTACTCTTAAAAACCTAAGCCGAGTCGAGTCGCAACTACTCGACTCAACTTCAATTAGTTATTCACTACATGAAATAGCAAAACTCAAGTCGAGTCGAGTTGTCATCCGACGTAATTATGTCGTACCCTACTTGTCCGAGTTTCGCCTCATATCTTTCTATTAATGGAAACCATTTTGCCCTACTATCCCCCCTACGTGGGTAAAGAAAAAGTTTGTCCAAAGCAAGCAACAAGGGTATTGCTAAGTTGATATGGGGCATAATTATGATAAACTCTACCTTGTTTAAGGCAAAGTGTCTTTCGCAGGGTCACTCAATATAGCAAAATAAAGGAACCATTATCCGAAATCGAAATGAATATTGAATAAAGATGTGTCTGACATAATATATTAATTTTTTTTCTCAAAGTTTATCAGAGAAAAACGATGCAATAAAAACAGTACAGTTGCTAGAAAGAACCTGTTGGAAGAGATAGTGGGGTTGGGAAATTCTTTTCCTCCCATCCCCCCTACCATTGAGTGGCGTGGTATCATCAGATCTCAGCTCCCTTTGAAGTTCATCGAACTCCCAATCCCATATCTCATTGGCCGAGTAGCCTTGGCTATCATTCCCAAACTCCGACTCCAGCTGTGCCAATTCTGCTTCATAATCTAGCAGCGGCTGTGCTTCAGGATTATCCTCTGTAGCTTCAGGTTTAGGTTGTGTTGATTCCGGAGTTGTTTGTATTTCCTCAATAGGAATATCAGCCCTTGGAGTCTCCAATTCCAAAGATGTTTCCTCAGGTTCAATTTCCAGAAAACAAATTACAGCCAAACAAACATACCCTAAATTGATCTCTTTCTTCCCGAACATCCAGTAGTCGTGCAGTAGCAGTAGCCAATGAGATATTAACCTACACATGTTTCACCGAAATGATAACGGGACCGAATCCACCTTTTTACAGAAAAGGGTTGTTAAAAACAGATAGAACTTTCAACAGCATGAACTTGGTGGAGGTTTAAAACCTGAAGTTTTCCAAGATGCCTTGTTTTCATGGTTGTATGTGAGTTCCACTACTTAACAACTTGAAATAACTCTCAATCATCACAAATCAAGTTGAACCAATGATCATTAAAACATGTTTAAGCAATACAATGAAATAAATCATACGGAGAAATCATTTTTATATGTCATAATAGTTGATTTCCGAGCTTTAGTACTTCAATCACCCCCAAAAGTAAATAAGTATATAAAAGCTCTGCTTCAGTAAAGCATACAGTAACCTCCAAATCATGAATAAGTATAAACAAAAGAAAGGAAAATTGTAAAAGTGAAAAAGAGGGAACAATATACTATACTTTGAGGTAATGGAAAAAAAAACATGCAAAATCATGTTGCAGATTTTCCAACATGTAAGAAACAACTAGAAACAGAATGCAGTAGAATAACCTTCTTCAGGTCTGCTTCAAGTTCATCTCTTTGTCTCTCCAGCGCTGAAATCTCAGCTACTATTTCCTGGATATTGTTCACTAGAAGAAAACTTCACATTTCTCATCTAAAACATTAAGTGCACCAAAAGTCACAGGCATTTTTTTTCCAGATCAGCATGTTTTCCATTGTTTCAATGAGAAGCTTGCAAAGTTCATGATGGTAATAAAAGTTTAGGCAAAAATAAACAATAATCCTTAAAAAGAATGAAACTTTTCTTCTTTTTTATTTTCACATGTTATATTATTCTTCTGGTATATATGGACATGCATTTGGCCTTAATGCTTAGGCCACTAATGGAGGGGAAATACTAAACCGCTTTGGAAATTGAAAAAAAAAAATAGATGATAAACCTACTTGAGTCTCATGTCCTAACCAATACCAATGTTCTCTGGGAGACTTTTTGAACAGCATATGATGAAATCTAACAACCATTATATCACTGCCATGCAGTACCATGATGCATGAAATCATGAAAATGAGGAACAAAACCTTCGAATGCCATTATATTATACTTGTCACATCATTATGTCTTATTCTTAAAGGCACTGAATTGAAGATGTAGGATTAGGAAGTGTACAAAAATCTTCTGAAGTGGATCTAACTAAACTAGTCTTGATTTTGACAACACATTTTATCAGAGTAAGAAAACAGCTTGCTAGCTAGCTATCAAATTCCAGAGTCAATTTCTTGAAATCAAATCTACTCTAACCAAAATAGCAAGATGATGAATTTTCCTTTTTATCTAGCCATGCAGACAGAGAACACGTCAGTGCAAGTATACAACCTTCTCTTTTCCTTCAGCTTCAGTTGTTCTGGTCACACGAACAGTTAGGGCCTCCTCCTGAAATCTGCAAATAATAAAACCAATGACCAGTGTGAAACAATTACCTTTTTCAAGTGAATGTTTAGATAATTCTAAGCAGAATCAGTTATAAAGATATTCAGATTGCTTTATATCTTGCTTCAGTGTTGTGATGTTGTCTTCAAGAATTTCATCCAAGATCCAGATATTAAGTAGAAATATTCTGGACAAGCACCCCAAGAAATCTCCAGAAGCCGGATTAAAAACATTTTTGCCAATTAGAATGACCCAATGATAACCTTTTCCTCAGTAGGTGCGCTCGCCACTGGAGCAAAAAGTCTTAGAACCTCATCAGCTTCCATTGGATCGGAATAGATTGATTTCGTCGATAATCTTAGTAGGCGTGTTTCAAGAAGAGCTTTGTGGGAATTTTTCAAGTATCATGGTAAAGTTGTTAAGGTTTTCATTCCTCTTGTCAACAAAAGGCCTAGATACAAAGAATCCACCTTCGCGTTTGTTCACTTTGAAAGTCAGGAAGACATGGCTAATGCCATAGAAAAGGTAAACAATACGATGATCTATCGGAGAAGAGTTACATTAGGGGTTGCAAAGTTTGTGGTAAAGAAGGAACCTGGAGCAAGAATGGGGAAGGTAGACGAAAGGCAGGCAGTTGCTTAGATTCACAGAAAAGGATCACAGAAGAAAGAGTGGAGTTGCTTAACAGATTTAATGATGGAAGGTCATATAAAGAGGTGCTGTTTAGTCATGAGGCTAATGGTGCAAGGGAGAAATCGGTGAATGTGTTCATTCCAGCTAAAGAGAAGGAACGGATGAAGTTTTCCTTGACTGGAATTATTAAAGCTGATTTTGATTTCGATCTTGTCCAGAAAGCTCTATTTAGTGATGGAATAGATGTTAAGATAGTTAGTTGGGGATATGCGTGGAACACTTGCATCAACATCTTTTCATCGGAGGAAAGTCTGATGGAGGCTTGGTTGAAAAAGAAAAGTGAAATGTCTTATTGGTTTGAATGGTTAGATCACCTTGTGAAGGAAATCAAAATTTCGACAGCGTTCTGCTCTGTTGAATTGAGTGGATTTCCTTTAAACTGATGGC